TGGGGCTGTTTTACTCTCTGAACTTCAGGCAAGCTTTATTTATTAGAATACAAATGAAATACCACTAAGCCCATCCTCTGTTTGTTCCTTTCTTTTTGTCCTCCTTCCTCTTAGAAACATTTTGATTTTATTTTTAATTATGCTTCTGTGTTTGGGTGAATGTGTATGTATGTGTAGAATGCAGGCCTGCAGAGGCCAGAGGATTGGTTAGATAGCTCGGAGCAGAGCTTACAGGCTATGTGAGGGTCCAACAAGAACCTGGAACCAAACTCAGGTCCTTTGGAAGAACATGTACATACTTTTAACTGCTGAACCCTTTTTCTTCCTGCTCTCTTCTTTCTTTTTTTGGCAAGGTGGAGTAGAATGGTGGGGTCACACCTTTGGTTGACCTGGAACTCACTACGTAGACCAGACTGGCCTCCAACTCTTGGAGATCTGCTTGCCTCTGCCTCCCGCGTGCTGAGATGAAAGGTGCTTGCCACTACACCCAGCTCCTATCTTTTGTCTTTAAAAATGTGTTCACTGGAGCTGGCATGATGTCTCTTTGGTTAATAGCACTTGCTGCTTTTGCAAAGGACCCAGGTTTGGTTACTGACTCCCACTTGACTGCTCATAACCACTGGGCACCAGGCATACACATTATGCCTATATATACTTGCAGACAAAACACTGAAACACGTAAATTTAAAGTAAATAAACTTTAAAAAGTGCATGTTCATTTGGACTTCTACTTTTCAGCATGTCCTCACAAGTTTTAACACAAAGACAGTATCTTAAGTGGCTTACAGTTCCATTTAGAATAAGTTAGGTCATTGGTTTATTTTCACACTTGGAAGATGGTGCCAATTGCAGGGGCTGTGGATGTAGCATGTAGCCCCGTGGTAGAGTGCTTGGCTAGCGTGCATGAAACTCTGGGTTCAATCTCCAGCACCTCATAAACAGCTGGTGGTACACACCTACAGTCTGAGAACTCGGGGGGTAGAGGCAAGGGAATTAGAAACTTAAGGTCATCCTTGACTACATAGCAAATTCAAGGCCTGAGGGGCTGGAAAAAAATAGCTCAACAATTAAAAACATTTGCTGCTCTTCCTCAGGACCAAAATTCATTTCCCAGAACCCATGTTGGGCATCTCACAACTACCTGTAGCTGGTAGCTCCAGGGGATCTGATGTCCTCTACTATGGAGAATATATGTGTTACAGACACAGACACAGACACACAGACACAGACACAGACACACACACACACACACACACACACACACGCAGAGAGAGAGAGACAGAGAGAGAGAGAGAGAGAGGTCAACTGCAAGAAGAATGCTGGCTACAGCGATGTTTAATTTCTTTGGAGGAGCAAGAAAAAGACGTACGATGCTTGGCCTTGGTTTATGTTGACTTTGCATAGAGTGAGGTCGTTGTATGTTGTCCCTGAGTTTTCCCACTTGTCACCTAAAATGTTCAGGAGCTCTGTTTCAGTCAGTGGGAACATTCTAGTAAAACGGGGCCATCGGAAATGTGAACATCTGGGACAAGAGCTCGCTGTGAGGTGCTGTCCTCCCAACAGATCCATCTGAGACAGCTGCCTCTCACGTCCTCCTGCTCTCCCCTCCCCAGCTACACATGGTGGTCCTAGAGTACGGAAGAGATGGGACTGTAGCTGAAGGGGATTCCGTGTTGCGGGGAGGGGAGGCTTTTGGTGATGCGGCCATCTTTCGAGTCATCCGTGTTCCTGTAAGTTAAGTAAGCACAATTAAGTCATTGTCTCCAGGCTGGAATTTTGTTTTGTTCTTTAGTATATTTATTTGCTTGTATGTGTAAGTGTGTGTGTGTATGCTTGCACACACGTGCACGTGTATGTGGGAGGAGGGAGTACATGTCATGGAACTCCTGGAGAGGTCAAAGGACAACTCGCAGGACTCAGTTCTAGTCTTCCACTCTGTGGGTCCTGGGAACTGAACTCAGGTCATCAGACCTGGCAGCCAGTGCCTTTACCACTGAACCATTTCACTGGCTTGGAGACATTTGGTCTCTCATTGACCACCTATTTGGGGTGAACAGGCATGAGTTCATGTCTCTCCAAGAAAAGTTATGCAACAGAACTCTTCAAAACAGCCTTTCTGCAGCATTCATTCATCCTGCCATGGCTGGACACTCCACTCTGGCTCGCAGATGACGAGTCTCAGAATCCCTCCAGGCCCTTTACGCCAACATGGCCCTCTGGACCTGGGCAGAGTAACCCCTAGCCCATTGCTGTGCTACATTTTCTTGGAAATCACTTTGTCGCCTGCCATCTCATTGGTTTTTGTTTTCTGTTTTGTTTTTTGTTTAAATTTTTTGCAACAATGAACTTATTGCCATAGATCTTTCTTCTTATGGAACCGAAGCATACATTTCAGCTCTGATTGATTGAACACCTTGCCTGACATTGTGCAGATTAGAGGGCGGGGCGCCCAGAGTCCCCAGGTCTTGCTTTCTTCATTGGAATCCTGGGTATGGGAACTCTTTGGGTACTTTTGATTTCACACGAACAATTTGAATTTTAATATTCTTTTATTTCTCCCTTTATAACTAAATGATTCTAAGACATCAAGGAGAAGTCCCCATGTCCCACGGACTGAGAATTGTAAAGAGACTATGATAAATGTCTTTCCAAAAATAACGTATTTATTTTTGATATGTTTGATATGGAGTCTCTTGTAGCACAGGCTGGTTTTGAACTAGCTATACACCCAAGGATGACCTTGAAGTTCTAATTCTCCTGCTTTCGCCTCCCAAGTGCGGCTTAGTTTTACGCTTTTCTAGGGATCAAAAACCTAGGGATTAGTGCATGCCGAGCAGAACTCTACTAAGGAGCTATATCCCCAGTCAACCAAGTCAAATGAAGGGATATTTAAATGCATTCCCTCAGTAACTATTTGCTAGTGCCCCAAACATACCCTCAGCAAGGACAAACACCTCACCAGGGTGAACCTGACATACTCATACCTGTCTGAGGGCCCCAGGACAGGCCCTGGTGGTGGAAGACAAGTCATTCCCGAGTTTGGCCGGACCACCTCGGCTGTCCTTGAGGCCCTGCTGGCTGGCAGGATTGACAGACAGGTGGCTGTGAGGCCATCTGCTAACACAGCAGTGGGCACACCATGCCTGTGCATGGAGCTGCTGGGGGCTTAATGAATCTGTCCATGAGGAGAGAGGCAGAGCATGAGGCCAGTGTCAGGGACAGCAGGCCTCTTGAAGACTGAATGGAATTTACCAGGTGGACGGAGGACATTCACGATGAGCAAAGCATACAG